AGCTTGGTTGGGTTGTTAAAAGTAATAAAGTTAATATTTAAAAAAGTAATAGGCTGAAATGATGTCAGGGTGCAGTATATTCTTATAGGAGTAACTGTAAGTGAATGATGTCATATTTTTAAAGTCTCAAGCATCGACATGTTGAGGAAGACATTTGTATAGCAGTGTATTCTGTATGGCAGTGACATAGATTGTGGGTGCCTGACAGTAGGTTGTTGAGGACAGTCTATGAACACTGTAACCCAAAAAAAGGAAATAACAGGAGAATGGATACAGTTGAATATATATATTCAAAGAAGATTTAATGGCCAAATTAGACGCCAACCAAGAAAAGGCGGTGGCCGATAGGAAGGCCGACAAAGAAGAGATGAAAGCTGACAGAAAAGCAAGGAAGAGATGAAGGCCACAATGCGATCTATGCAGTCAGAGTTGGACGAGACACTCCAACATAGAATTGAAGTGATCAAAGCAAGGACGGAAGCCATGCGAGAGAATATGGGCACCAGCCACAAGGAGATGGTGGCTGTAATCAAACCTGAAATAGAGGAAGTGACGAAGGCCTGCCGAGAAACGACAGAGGCATGTCAAGAAGAGAGAAAGCCGACCTCACCAGACAGGAAACCTGAGGTGGCATAGATAGAAGAGGTCCCCACGGAAGATAATGCCGGTTTCGGAACCAAGAAAATGGCGTAGGGACTGAAAACTGGCTGAGGAACACCGCCGCCAGATACTGAAAAACTTGACGCAGAAAAATCGTGGACCCCAGGAGAAATTGGCCATCAATTAGAGAAGGACAACACGCCGTGCGAAAGTGGCATGGAAAACACCAATAGACAGTATATATATAGGTATTATAATCCTTGAGATAAAAGTTGGGTACTTGTTGGCCTTTCATAGCTCAAGACATGTTTTATGCACTGTTGCTCTTGCTCATTTGTCAAGAGTCTGAGAAGAAACTTCATGACATGGGGTGCATATTCAGATTTTTTGTTAAGATCTCCTGGCAAACTCCATAACTGATCCCAGCAGTCTCGGCAAGCTCATGGGTTGTTCCATGACAGTCCTTGTGGATGAGTTCCCAAATTCTTTCAACATTTATGTCATTTTGCTTGTGCTTTGTCACCCTGAACATTCGTCATCTTCAGCTGACACGCAACCAGCCTTGAATCATGAATGCCATTCAGAAACCACTGTTCAGCTGAAAGAATGTTCTACAGAAGCCTCATGAAGCATTTCAAGGGTTTCGGTCATGGATGCAACAGGCTTGCGGAACTGTGACCTTGGCCTCCCCTCTCATCTTCTTTCACTGAGGCAAGTTACAACAATAACAGTCCAGGGACCTTTCCATATACACCATTTGCATTTAGGGGCATGCGGTAGCATAGATGGTTGAGGCACTATGCTACAAGCTGGAAGATCATGGGATCAGATCCTGATGAGGTCAATGGATTTTTTCAATTTACCTCATCCTTCCAGCTGCACTATGGGCCTGGGGTTGACTCAGCCTCTAACAGAAATGAGTACCAGGAATATTCCTGGAATGTTCTTGGGGGTAAAGGGCAGTTGGCGCATAAGGCTGACAACCTTGCTGCCATCTATTAGCCAATTGTCTAGAAAATGTGGGAACCTCAACATCTCACAACCCTATGGACCTCCATGGCCTGTTACAGGGATACCTTTACGTTTACTTACTTTTACTTACTATTTGCATTTATACGTTGTTCATTCCAGAGGCATGAAATATTCATATAATTGTCACTACCACCACCGCCGCATATGCATGCGCACTCACACAAGTTTGCCAAAATTGTGCTTCATTCTGTCCAATCCTTCCCAGGGATAAGTGGATATTTCACAATTTTTAATGTGTCTTTATTTTAATATATTGTTGTCAGGCATTGTTGATATTTATTGGACTTTGTTGTGCGAGAGATGAAGTATACTGGCTGTTGTGACACAGTGATAATCCACCACAACAGAAAGGCAAAGGAAAAACAGCAGAAGATTTGGTTGATCGTCAGTTACCAGAATTGCTCTTTCATATGGAGGAATTATGAGGTAAGATTTTTATTTCTTACTGTGCCCTCTTGCAGATGGTCATTTCTTGCTTAGTCATGTTACTGAAAATTACGGTCTGGGAACCATGTGTTCACAGTCTGATGTTAGTAACCTGGCTTCTCAAGAACATCCTCCCTTGTCTGTTTATTTTAATGTATGTGTTTGAAGTCGTTTGGAGTGTGTTGTATTGGTGGGATGGCCGATTTTGGCTGGTGGATCTCTGATGTGCAGTGGTCTGACGCAAGTCAGCGAACCTAAGATTGGTGAGCATGCGCAGCAACACTATGTTGCCTCAGTAAGAAGGGAGACGTTGAGCTCATAGGATCACTGTTACTAGTAGATACTGTGTGCTTTTCCCATGTGCCAGATGCTTGTTTTTAATTGATATATTAACTTTCCAGGCAGTAACACATTTAAAAAGAAAACAGATGCCATTTATTCAGTCAAAACTTGGTAATAAAACATTGCACAGCCAGACCCAAGAGATTGTAAATAACATCCGTTCATGTATGAAAAGTGAAGTGGCTGCAGGTCATGTATTGATACCGTTAAGAAAGGTACAAGAGAGAGTAGTAAGGTCAACCAGAGTTTCAGAAAGAAGTTTACGGAGAATTCTGAATGAAGGTTGATGTGAAAAAGAAGGCGCTACGTTCGGAACTCCCAGTAAACAGCATTCTGTACCTAAATGGATAAAAATCCAGATAATTCGATATATCTCTGATTCGACGGACAGTGTATGGTTTCTACACCCAAGAAGAAACTGTGCCTACTGTGAGGAAACTACTTCCAAAACTCAGGGAAACCGTAAATTTTAAGGGAGGTAGTACCAGCCTGAAATTTATTTTATGGAAGATGGGTTTTAAATGGAAGAAAACGCGAAATAATGGGCGCCTTGATCGAGAGGGTCGACATTAGGTTGAAGAGAGTAGCATATTTTCGTGCAATAAAGAAGTACAGGGAGGAAGGTCGGACTATAATTTATGAGGACTAGACCTTCATTCACAGCAGTTACACCAGACCTAAAAACTGGACAGATGACACTCCATCAGGGTACATGCCACCCGTATCAAAGGGCCAGAGGCTGATTATTGTTCATGCGGGAGGCAGAACTGGCTTCATTCCCAAATCATTGTTGATACTTGAATCTCATCTCAAGACCGGGGACTATCATAATGAAATGAACGCGACAAATTATCAGAAGTGGCTAACAGAAAAACTTATTGCAAATTCGCCTCCAAAATCAGTTCTTATATCACAACGTGCAGTTTAATAAGGCGCCCACCAGCCAGACCATGAAGGCCAAGATGATGGAGTGGCTTACAGTGAGCAATGTGCCATTTCATGACAGAATGCTCAAAATTCAGCTCTATGACCTGACAAAGGCACAAAAACCCCTCCACAAAAACTTTGCAATGGACAACATAATGGCTGCATATGGACGGATGGTATTACGACTTCCACCTTATCATCCAGACTTGAATCCGATTGAACTCGTTTGGGCTGATATTAAGCAATCAGTAGGGGCAGAAAATGTCTCATTTAATTTGGATGACGTGGCAAAGAAGTGTGAGAAATTGTTCAGTGAATTTGGCATAGAAAATTGGGAAGAAGTTTGCGACCGCACCAAAAATAATGAAAAGGAATACATCGAAAAAGAGGGAATTAGAGAGAACACTATAGAAAGAATTATCATCCGACATTCTGAAGACAGCAATGACAGTGATTCCAGTGATAATGATACAAATGAACTCAGTGAAAACAGTGACTTGTCTGGAGTGGAACTGTTAGACAAATAATTAGTATTGTCTCCGTCNAAATGATACAAACTCCGTCCCAAGTGCAAACAATATATATTATATGTCCTTGATCTTGTTCTTTCTACACTACATGTTTCGGCCTCTATCGGCCATCATCAGGTGTATATTCTTAACGTTGTTGCCACACTGAACCCAGTCTAAAATTTAACATTTAAAAACACAATGTCACATTCTTCGTATTATCAACATCTACATCGTTGATATATGTCTGGTATGTAGATTATGTTGCACACGTCAAATTTGTTATTCTTGTAGTAGCACTCTAAAAATCTTTAGTTATGATGTTTTAAAACCTTTTAAAATTTTTCACTAAATTTTAAATTTAAATTTAAAATTTAAAATTCTTAGGGTTACTCGCCCTATGTCTAAGTGCTGGAGCGGCTAGTTCTTGTTTTCACACTGTACAGGTGTTATTTAATGTAGTCTTCTTGTGTGGGTGCCGTGTAGAGTGCAACAGGATGCTTAAATATAATATTGTAAATAATTAGTGTTGTGTTAGGTTTATGTGTATTTTAATTTAACGTTGCTAGTGTAGTGCAGCATACTGTGAGTAAATTAGTTCATCATAATAGGATGTTAAAAAGCCTGAATTTTGTCTGATAGGACTAAAGTTCCAGTTAAATTCATCCTGCAGTCGGAGAGCAACTTCCAACCTCACAAGCAGCCAGCCTACGAATGTTCTCTCTGCAGACGAAGTAAATACATAGCATAGACTCGCTCTCATGTGCTGACAGTGAAGGACACCGGCCAAAAAGTATCGGCCAGCCTGTAACTGCTTTTCAAATACCAGTTTTTTATCATTTATGTTCTGATGAAGAGGTACACCACGCGGTGCGTGAGTGGTTGCGCGGACTACCAAAAGAATTTTTTTCTAAAGGAATTCATGCACTTTGTAAGTGCTGGAAGACTTTCATTGAGCGTGGGGGAGATTATGTTGAAAAGTGATACAGCTTTGTACCACTAGTGCACAATAAATAATACTCAAAAAAATATTTAAGGTTTTCATTTGACTTGCCTACATAAATGCCAGTGTAGTGTTCTGGGCATATTATCAGTGGTATTTGAACGCAGAAACCGTGTATAGGTTCTGTTCTTGTGGACATGACTATAATGTTACAAAGTGTACGTACCAAAATACTTGTAGATTCTAAAGGCTTCTGACGATGGGGAATGACAGACTTACTGGGTTTTTGGACTTTTTCCATCATCCAGAATTCTAGGTAATAGAGAACACAACGTTTTGGAAACTGGATCTGTTTCCATCTTCAGGTGAGAAAGGAAGACACCTACTCAATTGGGCCCCTTAGAAAGAGCTAATCTCAATCACTGGACCAGACAAACAGATTCAGTTTCTGAAATGTCATGTCCTCTATCACTTAGAATTCCAGATGATTGAAGAAGTCCAAAAACCCAGTAATCAAAATACTTGTTCCGAGGTATTCCATTAGGGAAGAAAATTTGAAATTTTGAAACTGATAATGTTGTGGAATTAGAAACATGCCATCATTTTAAACTTTTGGTAATGAATATGCAGTCACTCATATGAAAAAAGTTCTTTAGGGTTGCCTTTGCTAGAAATAAAATGTTACATTGTAAAATCAGCCATTTCGTGTGTGTGTGTGTGGCTCTTCATTTTGACATAGACTGTAAAGCAGTTAGCTTCTATGAATAGCCTTTTTTTTTATATGTGTAGTTCTGGTTCAGAAGTACAGCCAAGTCATGCAGCGTTACTATGTCCAGTACCTTACAGTATATAATGCCATTTCTCTAAACCAGATGGTTTGGAATCTACAAGTGTGCCCTGAAGATGAAAGTATCGTTCTGTCTTCCATTTGCAACACCATTCAGGGCCTGTCTGTGAAACAAGGTAATTGTATAATGTCAATAATCATATTCTGTTTATAAGATTACACATATTTGGTGAGGTGGTGGATGTAGCCAATCGGATTAGCTTAATCCATCATATAATCTCCACATAAAATATATCATACCCTTTCCTGTAAAATGATCTGTTGTTAATATTAATGTATGAGCCTAGTTTTTTATTCAGTTGGAATTTAAAATGTGAAACAAAACAAAATTTAAAAAGAACTTCCTATTTATAAGAACATCCAGCCCTCTTGAAAAAGTGAGGCCGTGGAGAGTGTCTTGGAATTTAAATCCTATTCCTCAAGAGGCTAAAAATATTGTGACGTGTCGCGCTAGCTGGACCCCACCCCCGGAGCTGACGCGCCGAGCGGAGCCGAAGTTAGCTGAGTCCCAGCGTCCTGGTAGCTATGCAACATGAGTCAACAGCGGTGACGTAAGACGGCGTGAGGTAACAGCGTTGCTAGGCTATACGCGGACACTGTTACGTGGCACACAACGACGCTGTTGATATGGGCAACAGGTAACAGCGAACGGAATATAAGCCAGCTGAGCAGCAAGCGAAAGCCAGTGTGTTATCAACAGTCCTCAAGGCAGCAGCCTGCGAGCAGAGTTGGAATCTAGCCAGCGGCGAGTTACGAGTGAAAGTGTGTGATAATCAGTGACAGTTTGTGATGACTGAGAATTGATTGGAAGTGTGTGATACAGTAACACTTATATAGCTCCCGTACTATGAAACGTGTAGACTACTGACAATAGAGTGAATTGAATATTGCGAATAGGGTTATAAGTTGTGAAACCCCGCAATATTGTTATAATTAATTGTAGCCATTACGTGTGGCTGCTGTGTAAAATTATTTTACAGTTTGTATCGAATTAATGTAATTTTTTATCATTAAATTTGGTTAAGGATTTATAGTTCCATATTCTATAAAAGTATGTTTATGTACAGCATTGCCCACCTTTAGCTTGTAGGTGGATGAATTTGAGATTATAATGCTTTGTTACAAAAATTGATACATTTTATGTATATATATTATATTTGTGCATAATTTTTATACATCACATTTTAATTTAAGAGAAATTTCTTGTTTATGAATGTAT